GAATGGACTAAGATTTTTGCCATCACTTCCATCAATTAAAAAAAAAAAGAAAATATTCAGCTTGCCGGTAATGCCGCCTCATAAGATAAAGAAACTAAAGTGCCGCCATAGAGCACTGCCTCCTCCACCCTTCCCCCTTAGCTGCTTATAGTCTAGTAACTTATAGTCTAGTAACTTATAGTCTAGTAACTTATAGTCTAGTAACTTATAGTCTAATAACTTATAACTTAGTAACTTATAGCCTAGTAACTTATAGACTAGTAACTTATAACCTAGTAACTTATAGCCTAGTAACGTATGGTCTAGTAACTTATAGCCTAGTAACTTATAGTCTAGTAACTTATAGTCTAGTAACTTATAATCTAGTAACTTATAGTCTAGTAACTTATAACCTAGTAACTTTATAACATAGTAACTTATAGTCTAGTAACTTATAACCTAGTAACTTGTGGTCTAGTAACTTATAGTCAAGTTACTATAGTCTAGTAACTTATAGTCAAGTTACTATAGTCTAGTGACTTATAGTCAAGTTAATATAGTCTAGTGACTTATAGTCAAGTTACTATAGTCTAGTGACTTATAGTCAAGTTACTATAGTCTAGTAACGTATAGCCTAGTAACTTATAGTCTAGTAACTTATTGTCTAGTAATTTATAGTCTAGTAACTTATTATCTAGTAACTTATAGTCTAGTAACTTATTGTCTAGTAATGTATAGTCTAGTAACTTATTGTCTAGTAACTTATAGTCTAATAACATATTTGACGAGATTCACGAAATAATTTCAAATGTTAGAAATATTTTCTTTGGGGAAAATTATATAACAAATTCTGTTTATCCGTCGGAATGTTAAATAAAGTCAAAGTGTCTTTATTTTCTGGATACACACAAAAACACACACACACACACACGCATATATATATATATATATATATATATATATATTGCTTGTCACTTGGCCTCACCTGAACCTTTATCAACTCTCTTAATCTCTCTTTCTAGTCTTTCTCCTCTCCTCCTATGTACACCTATCCTTCTCTCATCTACAATTTACATTCTCAAACGTCCTATTGACTGAAGGCTGAGCTGAGTTAGGCAGACTTGCGTTGAGCAAATGGGCGAATATTAAATACCAAGAAAACATACTCCTCCACTGGTCGTTTTAAATCATCCTGTCGACCTGGTTATTACCTGGCACCGCCTACCTTGACTGTCTGTGAAGTAGTCGTCACCTCGATGTGGCTAGCTGGAACACTTTTACCTGTCTGTCCGCTCCAGACAAAGCATCTTCACCAACAACAAAACCATTTGTCAACATTTTTGTTTAGGAATTTTTCGAGGAGTTCACATGTGGATTCAACGCTTCTTTATTGTTCCGGGGCTTTCGTTCCGAAATTCGGCATTATTGTTTTGACGTTTGTTCGTTTCAAATTTTAATGTAAAATAAATTTCAACTATGTTGTGTTGTTTACGCTAAAATAGGTAGACAGAGTTCATGCTCGAACGTAATTAAAGAGTCGTAGCGTATCTTTCAAACCTTGATGAGGCTAATGTTAATTTGATGGATGGACTGGGTGCAAATTTTTGAACTGTAGTATAGACGAAAACTTTGCATTCAAGTTTTACCGCCTTTTATTCATCGAGGCTTCACGGGCGTTTCAAGAATGTGGTAAAAAGTTGGTTTTCAAAAAATATATATATCATTGGAAATGTTTTTTTTTTTTTTTTTTTTTTTTTTTTTTTTTTTATTTTTGTGTGTTTTTTTTTTTTAAAAATGATAATGTATTTTTAGATAATTAAAAAAAAAAAAAAGGGGGGGGGGNCCCCCCCCCCACAACAAACAAACCCACTGGTTGATATACCAGGCCCGCTTCGAGTTTTGACAGCTGAGATAGACAGTGTCTCGCCATAACTCCCGTCTCTTCCCCTTTCCTTCCATTGCCTGACGCTGCTTCCTGCAGTTAAATGAAGGAAAGTTGGCTCTTAAAAATGATCTATGTATGGTTACCTCGAAAGTACTGCGTAATTTTAAAATCTTTTTTTTTTTTTTTTATCTCTTGCCCTTTTCTGCATCAAAAGTTAAGATTATTTATTTAAACATCATGTTTTATTATTCGTAAAAAATATCGTCTCTTCCCCGTAAAAATGAGATTATCTCTCATATTTCAATCATCAACCCACACAATGAAATGATCTACCAATTTACGTGAGTTCTGCTTTTGGGGTGCGAAATTGTTATTTGAGGAGAGGCTAGAGAAATATTTTTTTTTTCTTAGAGATTTGTAGCAGTTGATCCCCCCAATCTACTTAAGTTTGTGTTCGTAATCGTGTTCAACCGAGCCATGGGTCGGGGCTGAACAGCTCTTTATCGGGATTTTGAACATTTGTACAGCAGCCTGCTTCCCTCGTGTGTTGTGTGACTCCATCGTTCCAGTCTTGTTATTAGGAAGCTGTAGGCACGCTCTGTATCCATTTGTCCTATCCGTGGGGTGTCCGTTTAAGACTTTGGGTCTAGACATGTAAAATGCCGTCATGAGCTTTAAATCCATTATCTGAACTGTTCCTGGGGCCTGCGTCATATAGACTAGGAAACAATGTGTCGATACATGTATGCCGCGATCAATCAGAAAAAAAAATATATAAAATTAATGGACCACTTCCAGTCAACCTAAAAAAACTTATACCGTCAGAATCACAAAGAAAAAGTTGACAATTAATTTTTTTAATCCCCTGGTGTGGCTGTCAGGGCGCGAGGGGGGGGGGTGCATTAAATTGTTTATAACCAAAAAAACTTCACTTTTAATCAACCTAGAGACGTCAAATTTGGTAACAGAGAAGCTGAAATCAACCCCAATAACCAAAATATTTTTTTTAATGTTTAAATGTTTTGGATAGGCCTCCGGTTGGGGGTGGGGGGGGGTATTTGCGAAAGACTTTCGGGAGAATCATGCTTGGGTCAACGGGAAAATCCATTTTGCGAAAGTCTTTAAGACACATGGCGAGATTGGCGTTCATTATCATCCTTTATAGACAGCATTTGAACATGCGGTATTGTATTTTTTGTCCAACCATGCGCCCCAACAATATTATATGCACTATAAAAGCAAATGCAGCGATACATGTGTGTATGTCCCGATAAATCAAATAAACGATTCCAAGTGATGGTCTACTTTCAGTCAAACTAGGCAATTTAACCATTTTAACATTTCAGAGGTGCCTCGCGGGGCAGATTGCTAAGGTGTTCGGGAGAAACATGCATTGCTAAATGGGTTTCACACATTTGAGACAATCCATTAGATGAGACACATGACGTTACTGGCGTTCTTTGTCAGTCTCAATAGGTTTTTTTTGGGGAGGTTTTTCCAAAGCATTTGCACGTATGTCATGTTATTTGTGAACAATGCGCGTCCAGCTAGAATATTTATTGATCAGTTATTAAGTTATATATCAAAGGTTTGATACCACTGAGTCACGTAGACCCTATTATTTTTTTGACTAGCAGAGGCGCCGCCTTCGTCGATATTTAGTCTCACGGGGCCTCAAGTTGCCAACATGAGAACCTTTGAGAGCAGTCTGGAAAATGGACATCCAGGACCATATGCCTTTTGTAACCGCAGACAGATGTCTGAACGGGGGTTCAGTGGCAGCGCATTACGTGCAAGTTGTGCCTCGTTGAATTCCCGGTGGAGCAGAAACAACACGCGTCATATCGTGAAACCTTTTCACACCTCAGACACTTTCCTTTGACCACCCGAATCTCCGGATCCTGGCATTTCCCAATTACTCTACTAATGTCAAATTCATTTAAATTAATAGAGTATTTAAAGTGAATTGTGGTAATATTTTATACGATCATGATAATACCCCGTGAAGTTGCGCAATTCAAATTACCTTCTTTACACGATGCGCGCTCGGTGGCCGAATGCGGTTGGTAAGAAAATGATATGGCTCATGTTATATGAATATTTGAGATGGCGCTGTGGACTGTATAAAGAGTTTTGGCCTCAAAGGAAGACTTGTGTCATGATAGTGCTCATTGGTGAATGGGTGTGGGAGCGGGTAATGTTAGGAAGAAGGGATGATGGGGAGATGTGTCGGGAAGTTGGTTTAGGTTGGAAACCGGAAAGAGAAGTGGCGTTTTTTTGGTTTTAAATGTTTTTTTTTGGTTGTTGTTGTTTTTTTAAGCGGTTGATGAGACATTTTGGATGATAGGAGGAAGTTTGTTTGAGGCTGGTGTTGTGGATGATACCAATGAAATGGCGAGTTGGCAGTCAGGATAAATGGAAGACTATTTGGGGGGGGGGTGGTGTATTAATATGAAAGCGTATAGAATATATTGCAAAATTAAAAATTTAAAACAAAAAAGAGAGAAATCATAACAACACATTTAAACAAGATTTCACGGTAAACAGCATGTTGTAGCAAGCAAGTGTTCCATTATAGTAACAGCTCACAGCAAAGGAAACCTGTGTGTGTGCCGTACGTCAAAATCATTAAAGACGACTTGGACTTCCAATAAAAGATTGACTCTTACCACATACAAATTTCCTCTACCGTAGTTTCGTGTTTCCTTTTTTATGGTCTTTAACTGACTCACTTTAATGAAGATAACATTCACAAAAAAAGATAAATAAAATACGTTAAATTTCATTGAATATGTCATTTCAAACCCTATTGACACAACCCTTAAACTTGTGTTTAATCCATCCTTAGGTTTAGGATAAGTCTAACAGATAGAGTACAGATCTGAAATGTCTTCTCTTCTAGAGATAAACAGCTGCTTGCTTTTTTTTGATAAACAGCTGCTTGCTTTTTTTTTTTTTTTTTTTTTAATAGTAGCGTCATTGTTACTCTTTTATTTCCCCAGGTTATCAAAATGTTAGTGATTGTGGTGATCATGTTTGGAGTCTGCTGGCTTCCTCTCCACACGTTCTTCCTGGTCATCGACTTCAACCCACAGCTCATGAGCGAGCAGACCGAGGCCCAGGAAAGACTGTTCACCATCATCTTCTACAGCGCCTTTTGGTTGGCCATGTCCAATTCGTGTGCCAACCCGATCATCTACGGGTTTACTAACGACAGTTTTAGGGTACGTCTTAATGGCATTTCTCTTTGATAGAACAGATCAATATTTAAACATTCTCCCTCCATAGTACAAGATGTATATATTTATCCACCCACACCTTTAGCGCGCTGGCCTGCCTAAATATACAAGTTTACAGTTAACAAATGTTGATGTGATTATGTTGCATTGGTAGAGATGTTATCATTTTTTTTCTGGGGCATCCTGTATATATATATATATAAATATATATATTATACTACTCATTTTATAATCTGTTTCATTTTTTCAGGCAGACATGGCCGTGCTTTGCTACTTTTGGTTCCCGTTTTGCCATTGCATGAAAAAACTCGCCAATAGGAAGCTCAGCGTGTCCACCAATGACTCTGCCTACAACAAAAGATTCAGCACAATGAGGAAAACTCAGAGCTCTTCATACAGACAAGGAGTCTACAGAAACGGCAGTAAAGTCTACATTGAGTTACGAAGAGACAATATGTCCAGGGGCAGGAGTCTGGGCAGCATGAACGAGTTTTACAGGGAGACGCTGGATGTCGAGCTCAGGGACAGCTACAGCAACGGCCTGTGTGGCAGATGCTGCCACCTTCATCATTCGTGCAATCCAAAGAGCCAACATCTCAGTTTTATCAACGGTGGTGACTATAGGTGCTCCATCAACACCCATTCACAACCAGCGTTGCACCGGTCGGTGAGCGGCAGCAGCGCCCTCTCGACTTCATCGGTAAACAATATTGACCTTGACCAGTCCATTTATTCAACAACTGACGACATTAAGGTCCCTTACTCTCAAGAATCTCCTACCACTTTGGCCAGGGAGTTCTTGTTCGTGTCAAGGATGGACGATACCAGTTCCGGGTCATACAGACTCAATCCTTTACCCGAGGTAGAGATGAGTGACATTGCAGAATTCAATTCTGCGTGAATTTTGGTTAGAGTACAATATGACTATTGCAATTCTAAATATTTAAAAAACGCCTGATTTATGCTGTGAACAGTTTTCAATAATATATATATATATGTATATGTAGAACATTTGGCTTGTATGTATAATGTAAGTTGAAATATAGTTGTGGATCAGAAAATACTTTCTATGTTTTTTTTAAAATAAAACCATAACTATTAAATAAGAATCCAGTTCAAACCCCACTCACTGAAACTTTCACTAAAACTAGGAAAGTTGTTATGTACCGCTATATGGGTTTGAAAATTTTGTTTTACGATTTGTCTCCTAGGACGAACAAAACGTTAAAAAAATTAGTGAAAACCAGTCTACAAAGTAAACGAAATCAGAGATGCTAACAATATTCATTTTAATTATACAAATAAATTTTCTATAGAAATACAAATTCAAAAGTAGAGAAACAAAAAAAAAAAGTATGTCACTTACAGCACAGAAAGTGAAAATATAAAATCCGCGAAAAATAAAAAAAAATATTAACCTACACACACTAAAGAGTACAATTATATAACATCTTAGGTGTGTCTAGGAAAAAAATAGCCAAAAATCTCTTCCTCTCGGATGTGAAAGCCTATATAGAGAGATTAAATAAATTCTAGGAATTGCGTCACCTGATGACATTCTTTAGAAACAAAAATCAAACGCATTCGAACGTAAATAACCTTTTCCAGGGGAGGGGCGGGTAAATGAAGGGGCAGGGCATAATTGATCGGTGACGTCAGTATCAAGACAAAACAAAGGGGAAACAAGTGGTGGTGACACAACGCTATTATAAGGCCTGCACACACGCCCCTGACAAAAGGTCACAACCTCCTTTCTTTTCGTTTAATCTAAAATAAATTAACATCGCGTAGAATGTACTTGTTGAGCTAAAAACATTCGGCTATGTCTCAATCTCGGCCTTAGAATGGATTGTTAAGAGACGGTTCGAAGCAAATTTATTGCAATAGAACGTCGTCATTAATGTCTGCAGATGTTCTCTTGTGCATCTTGTTGTTGTTCATCTCACTTATGTCCTTGCTGCACGCGAGAGTTTTAAATTTAAAAAAAAAAAAAGTATTGAATGACTTCATCGACGTTGTGGTGACGACCATTCCGGGTTGTTTCCAGCTGTGAGTAAAATGGCCGGTCAGCCCAGTACGGCAGCTAATGCTGTGGGTGTATCAAGTACGATTGCATAAGACCTAACATATTATTACTATTTTATCCATTATCCATTAATGGATATGACGCGAGCGGCGAAGGTGGTAACCTCTGGCCGATGATTCCTACCATGCAGTCCTGAGAAGCTGTTCCAAGGCAACCGTTTCGTCCCAGCTACATCGCGAATTAGTTGCGTTGTGGAAACCCACAGTAGAATCATTCTTATAGGGCATCTAAAGCTTCCCCGGGATGAGTGGGGGAAGATATTAGGGCGTAAATTTTTCCATCCTGAGAAAGTCGATCGTGTGCACTTTGTGCAAACACAGTGTCGGACCGACAGGGTGTCTTTGTGTTAGGACGACCCCTGGTGGAGACGTGGTCGAGCAGACTCGGGTGGGGGCTGTCCTGACAAAGGGACATCCCAGACGTGCCGCTCCGCGGCCTGATACCGGGTTGGGGAGGGGTGTTTTGGGGAGGGCATAAAGAGCGCAAGCTCGACGGCCCGCTGACGCCATTTCTTAATGTAATATATTATCATTTTTTTCCAAAATAAATCTCAAACGTGAGGAAACCAAAAAGAAATAATAATGTCGTACTTCCGGTCGAATTTTTTTTATTTTACGCCCGAAATAAATTTCCCTCATGATAAATTAAGTTGAGGATATTTCATGGGTGATTTTTTAAAAATTAAAATTGATTGATTATAATTAGTATCCGATACAAGGGCAGGGCGGGGGGGGGGGTGTTGGTAGGAGCATTAATTATTTAATACCATAAGACTTTCATGTTTTTACTCAGCATTTTAAGGCAAGGCTTTTTGGTTTGAAATCGATAGGATCCATATAATTTAAAGAGTTCTGTAAAAAAAAAAATACATACAATTTCCTCTCCCAAATAGAAACCCAGGGGAGGTGGGAACGGGTTGGAGCCGCCACCCCTTCGTCTAATTTCCAAAGTGCCGCATTTTCAAGAATGAAATAATTGTGTACAGTTATAATTGTAACATCTCAAAGAGAACTATTTACTCACGCCAATCATTTAAATGTCATAGAAAACTCCATATACATTGCCTTGAAGTGTCTTGCATTTTATATGTCTTTAGATGTGATACAAATTTTATTCACTTAAAGGTCTCAAACACCAAAGTAATGGTTTTCGATTTTTTGGATAATGGAAGGGGGGGGGGGTGGAGGAGGAGTCTCACCTGGTCGCAGATAGAACACTAAAAAAATGACAGTATAGATTAAGTAGAGACATGTAAGTACCTATGTGCAAACATTATTAATAAGCTAGCTTGGCAGGAGTACGGCCTAATTCTCTTTTTTAAGTATTTAAAAATCTTATTCCTTTGAAAAATTATGCAATTTTGGTATTAACGAACACATGATTACCATAGTCGACAGTGTAACAATTGAAAGAATAAGGATCTTCAGTATTACCTGCTGTTCTGGGAATCATACTAAGAATTTATCAGCGTGCTTTCCCCCCCCCCCCTTCCAACCCCCAATTGTTACCGAATCTAAATGATCACTAATGTAGCCAATAGGGATATGAGAGTATACCATAGTCGACAGTGTAACAATTGAAAGAATAAGGATCTTCAGTATTACCTGCTGTTCTGGGAATCATACTAAGAATTTATCAGCGTGCTTTCCCCCCCCCCCCCTTCCAACCCCCAATTGTTACCGAATCTAAATGATCACTAATGTAGCCAATAGGGATATGAGAGTACATTGATGGCTGACCTCTACGCTAGAGAAATACTTCAGAGGTCCTGTGTTTAAATTATTCTAATAGTAAAGGTTGTCTTAGTGATATCTGTATTTATTTGTGTGCGTGCTGTAAATGAATCATTTAAAAAAAAAAAAACAATTGCGTCTCTTTCGATCAATAAAAGAATCTTATCTATAATACTAATGGAGAGAATTTTACTTTACATCAGATATGACAACATAAAGTTTTCTCATCAAACACCGATTAAAACTATAAACATTAAGAAAGCCGAGTAAACAAGTCAAACATGACACAAATAAAACTACTTTAGTTTGAAGGACTTTTTGGCAAAATTTGCATTCGTTAAACTAAAATTAAATTGTGGGATGCATCTCACCCCTTCATCACAGTTACCTACGATCGGCTCCATGTGGGCGAATTCTCTCGCTCAAACTTTGAGACGTAAGATATAAAATTTCATTACTTCCCCAGTCTTTCGGAATTTAAGATAATAACTGATGGGCTGCATTCGGAATTTACCTGCGTACTTTCCCAGCTGTTACATTTTTTTAAAATAACCACTCTTAAAATCCCTATTGTCACTTAGTGAGTGAGTGCACTTACATGGTATACGACATCTAATTTTTTCGCTTGAGAAATACCTAGGATATCTTCTGTTTAAAATTGTTCTGGTTTGAAATGAATGAATTTGCAAGAATATTTCTGTGTGTGCTGAAATGAAAATATACAATGTTATCAAAAACATTTTCAATGATTTGGATCAATAAAAAGAATTGTATCTTATCATTTCCGGGTAGGCCCCAATTTATGTCAAGAAGATTTTTTCCACGTACTGAGCATGTTTTAGACTTTGTTGGTGACAAAACATCAGATAAACCAATTACAAAAAAAAAAAAAAATGTTTGAATACGGAGCACAGAGCTTCAGACGGTTCATCCAGTATGTTGTATGAAACTGTCTCATCGTGTGCCACGGGCTTTGATTTTATTTACGCTGGAAGGAAGGTGTCCTTAACATATCAAGAATGACGCTTAGCCACAAAGATGTTTTGTTAGTTGTCTTTTAAAATGCTTGTGTTATACAGAATACTATACTTAACATACTAATTAACATTGTGTTCTACCGTTTAGGTGTTTCGGTGTGTCAAACATACAATTAATAAATCATGCCTTTATGTGATATTATTGATCTTATTTGATTTATAATTTACAAAATAAGAGAGGGGCTATTAAGCTTTTTTTTTTTTTTTTTTTAAATTACGCTTCCTAAGTTAAAGTCTTGCCCTTCCACTGCTCCAATACGTTAAAAAAAAGGGTATGTTGGAAGAAAAAACGTGGGACGCCTGTAGAGACATTTAAAAGACCATTGGGATTGGGATACGTGTCAGTTCTGTGTCGGCCGACCTTGACACTGAATTAGCAGCAAACAAACGTGACATCACATACGTTGAAATGGAAATGACATCTGAATTGTATTTCGCTGGTCACGTGCCATTACACTGAATAAAGAAAAAGAAAACAACACTCTGTTCTTAATTATGTAATTATTATTTTCATGCCAACAGTTCACCAGAAGATGACACACGTCCCGCTCAACCATACACATTAGCCAGATGTTCTCTGCACCAGATGATGTCACTGAAATTTTTGTTTCACAAAAAAAGTCAATGTAAATGGTGCTTGCTGGTTGATTTTTTTTTTAGCTCATGTAAATATCTGGCCTTATAATGTCTTTGATTTAATAAGAGTTATACGACTATGTCAAGCTTTTCGTTTTATGTGCCTGATTTTAATATATACATATATGTAATATTTAAGGTGTTAAAGTTTAACAACTTGATTATTGATAACTGACCACTGCAACAAGGTCATGGGGGGGGGACATGGACTTGTGGACGCCTACTACCCAGGAGCAGGTCCAGTAAGAAAAGTATAAAAGTGAAAGAGATGCCAAGCTTGTTGTTTTAAATAAATTGTTTAAGGTCTTGGAGCCTAGAGATAGTCACGGGGGAAATTTAATTACAACATTATAATTTACATAAAGTTAGACTGTTATCATGCCTTTAACAGCTGCTTGTACGTGTTTACCTTCTAAGTTCAATGGGCCACATTCGGACCGCTAAAACGATTAATCTGGCCCGCTAGTCCTTCCCGGAACTTCATTCCTGTT